GATGATGATGATGATGATGATGATGATGATGATGATGATGATGATGATGATGAATAGGACTATTGCGTGTAACAACAAAGCAGCTAACCTCTGCACCATCATCGACGCCGGTTTCTGCACTTATATGACCTATTTGCGCTGCGTGTACCGTAAGACTCTGACTACAACAAGGACACTCACGTTTTATTGCTCCTGCACGGGTAGTAGTACTCACACGTGGTTGTCTCGATGAGCTCAGCGCACGGCCAGCCGCACACCGTTGTCTTACACTGCGGTCTACTCATGCCCGGGCACATACACAGGGTACAGGCCCCGGTTTGGAACTTTTGCTCGTGGAGGTTTATCTGGCACAGCGCGTGGACAAGTTGAGGCTCCCAGCCTTCGCAGACACCACGGACTAGGCGGCCCCCCATGAGGAAAAAGCACTTCTCTCCCTCCGTGCCCGCCGAACGGCTGACGTTCATGGCGCTGTCTACGTCACCAATCGTCTCCACGATCTCGCCCGACGTGTACCACCGGAAGACAGATGTGTTGCCAAACGACACGGCGCCCACCACCAAGTGCTCATTCGGAGCCACTGCCGTTTTGTTCAAGTAGGAAAACGTCGTGTTGTCAGCCGGGGTTTGGAACTCGGCGAGAAAGCCGTTCAGCCGAGAGCACGTTTGGACCGCGTCCCAAAAGGAAGTGACGTGGCCAGCGTCTGCGTAGAAGACGCGGCTCTCTGATTGGCTGCAGTGTCTGGCCCATAGCGCGGGAACTGAAAGCGAGGCGAGAGTAGTGGCCACCGGAAGGAGAACTTGGGCCATGTCTTGTGGACTTCAGAGACGACTCAATCTGAAAGAGAATCAACATTATTTTGTCATCGATTTTGTTTTTATTTTTGGATTTTTTTTCATCAAACTCAATTATTCATAAATAGTTGGGGGGTTTTTAAAGATCTAGATCTAATTCATTTATAAATTCGATTTTCTTTTGTCTTATATTCTAAAAGGCAAACTACAATATTCATAGCGAGTGGGTGGTTGGCGGGTGCTCTTGTGTGGTATGCCCATTCTTTCCTATCAAACATCTTACCTCTCCTCCTTTTTTCTGTTTGTTACTCTCTTGTAACATCTCTAATCTTTGGAACTTAAATGACTTTATTGTGTTACAAGTGCCTTAAAACACTTACTAAAACTAAACAACACGCATACATCTATGAAATATGCAAATTTGTCTTTCTGATCGAAGTTTGCTTCTTCATGGCCTCTGGTCAGCTTTCGGACATATTATCCTTCGTTTTGGTAAGAGTTTTACGGCGTTCTCAACTGTATGAGGTCATATGAGCACTCGAGACACAAATTAATTGTTTTCACATTGAGCATTTTTGGTTTTAGCAGGAATTAATTTTGAATTTTTCTCGGGAGGCTGCTGAAGTCTAGAACTCTACTCCCTTTACGAGTGAAACCTATACACAACGACCAATTAGAACCTTATTTCATTACCAGATAATTCACAGATCTGTGGAATGGTTATATGTGATGTAAAATGTCCATAGAAAGAGACATCAATTAAAGCTGAAAACTTTCTACGTTGCCGATGAAGGATATTACGTCACCGAGTGCACTAGGTATAAAAATACGACTTCCGGATTGAAATTCTTCAAAAGTTGAACGGCTCTGAACTTTGCAGAGCTGAAAAGAGATACTACTCCTTGACATCTCGTACAAAAACCACGTTTCAAATTCTGAGATAAGGAACAAAATCACCTACGCAGTGGGGCAGCATGAAGATCTACTGACCACAGTGAAGAGTGTGATTGCGAGGTAGAAAGACTGTATTTACCGACTGGCGTCAACACACTCACAGGAGAAAATGTGAGGACCTCGAACGTGGCGACGCGCCTGCGCTGGCCGGCTTAGATCACGTCGTCAGGCCCTCGGAGGTGTCACTTCGCCGGCAGCTACGACGACGTCGGCCACTCTGGTCTCTAGTAGAAACTGAGACGGATCAGAAGGGGCGCACAGAATTCCCGCCTCGCCTTTATACCCATGTTTCAACGCCCATAGTGTCACGGGGCGGCAACTCTGTTCGGCCCGCCCAGCGCCCCCTAGTCTCATGGGCCCGTAACTCTCAATTATTCATCTCTCCAATAACACGCCCCCTTGATTTATACTAAATCAACTACCTCGATCCCATTCCACCATCCCATGTTCATTCCCCACCCTATCAGATAAGCACCAGCAAAACAAAAACAAAAAGAACAACTTTTAACAAGAAAGATTCCATCCAATATACGGCAACACAAGAGTCTCGAATCTAGAGGTCCCCCGCAAAGGTATATCCCTTGCCCTGACAGAGCGTACTCAAAAAAGCTCGTCTTCAGCTACAAAACCCAAACAAGACATGAAGCGAACGCTGTGACTACCTGTCATTCGATCGCACACGTATAAGCAAAACATGTAGTTATCTCGACCGGTCCAACTACTTATATCATCGAACCATGCCCACACCCCGACAAGTATCGCAGAAAGGCGCATCCTCCTCCCTGACGCAGAATATTCAACCAAAAAAAAGATTGTAACATGACCTCTATTCACATGACTTAAACACAACTCCAAACGAACGCTCTGACTACCTGTCAAACGATCACCTACGTATAAGCAAAGCATACATAGTTATCCAAAAGGCCCCTTCCCTCAACGTTACCTCCCATCCTTGCCTCCATCTTAATACTACATCTCATAATCACCATGCCACGCTGGCTCCCGCCTGTGTCGCTGAGGATACCGACGTCCGACTTCTGCCCGTGGTTGCACCTCCTGAGCCTCCTCGTGGACTGCCACATGCTGGTCGCGATCTCCGGCGACCCTCACATCCTGTATATGTCGAGGCATATGGTCCACTTCGACATTATTCGTGGAGTTGATCTTGGTCACAACTCCCCGATCCCATTGAGTTGTGCACTTGGCATCAGGTGGTTTAACCCACACCTCATCACCCACTGTTACTGTAGCGGATGACTCTCCCTCGTGTTCCGCCGGAACAACTATTGGTAGTCTCCATTCATATCTCATGACCGACCTTTGAGGCACAGAGGTCTCTCCTCTTGTCTATACCTCGGTGAACAATTGTAATAAAATACTGCATCCACCGGCGACATGTTTCCTCGCTCCGCTATCGCTTTTCATAGTCCGATGATTCCTTTCCACTATTCCATTCCACCCCGGTCGATAGGCCGCTCCGAAGAAAGGCCTCACGTTCCATCCCGCAAGGAAATCCATAAAAGCCTTCGATCTAAAGGCTGCCGCGTTGTCCATCAGCACTTCAGTGACTGGGCCTCGCTCGAAAACACCTGCCTCAATTTAGAAATAATTTGCTCCGTTTGCTCATTTCTCAGCCGTCGCCAGATCGCGAATCTACCTGGGCCGCAATCCACCATTGACAAGTACGGCACCTCGCAATAATGGGTAACGTCAATCGCCAAACGTTCCCAATTCCTATCTATACTCAGCTCCCCAACCGTGTGTCCGACCGGTGCGGGATCGATGGACTGACATTTCTCACAACCCCTCACCACATCCTTCATCTGATCTTTCGTGATGCTTGGGTCCACCTGTCGTGCCAGATACCATGACTTTTCCACTTCAAAGGGATGCTGATCGTGAAGTTCCTTTGCAGAAACACCAACCGCCCCACAACCCAATCTGTCGACTTTAGCCCATTCCTTCCACTCCTTCCTAACCCTGGTCATCGCATCCGCCTTGTTGCCTTTCGACCCTATGATCTGTACCCGGATTGTTAGTCCCAGTTCTTCAACCATCTCCTTCAGTACTGCAAACCTGCGCTTCACCAAGATCTCTGCTGCACCCGCAGTCTTGACTCGCCTTTCTTCTGACAAGGTCAAATCGATCCATCGGCCCACAGTAACCGAATCTGTCATAATAAGCATATCTTTAAGCCCCCATTTCACCCCTAAGTTCACACCCTTCAGTTCCGCATCCAATTCTGCTACGTTTATATGGTGATAATCATCTGGCTTTCTCATCCAGGCCGCATCCTCAGCCACCACTCCGTCTATCTCTAGGTTTACGCCTTCGCATAAGTCACTCGCATCACACCAGACGGCGCCATCAGTGGCATGTTCGACCCTCCATTCTCCCCTGACCGGATCATCTTTTCCAACACGCGCTACAATCTCCTCCACCATTACCTGAACCCTGTCACAAATATAGCT